AGACATAAGCTCTAAGGTCTCAGTATACAACGACTGCCCTGCCCTTCAAACCGAAACGCGTTACTGCTTCACGGCAGAAATAGGCAGGGTAGTGGCACCTACCCGCGCGGACTCACAAGAGGTCCTACCACCAGTAAATTAAAACCTAATTATCGCCATTTCCTTAAGTGTCTTTGTGCTGAGAAACACTAATGTTGTCGTTGTATCTATAGGACTTAATTTGCGAGAGAACGAGATAAAAATCATTTTGAAAGTTTCACTTTAATATTGTCAGAAGATACGGCAGGCAGCGGCATTGCTGACGTCCATGGGCGACTGTAACCACTCACCATTAGGTGGGCCGTACACTCGTCTGCCTATAGGGGCAATAAAAGAAAAGAAGAAGAAAGATATGCCGGATAACTAAGAAAATACTTAATAGGGGAGTTTGTTCCAAAGTTTTAACTTGATTGAGGTATGAAACTGCATTCTTTGTTCATCTAAGATAAAATCACCAGTTAATAATAATAATAATAAAACATTTATTTCAGAAAAAATCCATAAATTAATAATAATACAATAGTCAGCACACAAACAGTTCAACAATACAAATAGAAAATGAACAATATACTAATTCAATTAATTAAATATACAAAGGAAATGAATTAGAAACACATAATTATATCAATACAGTAGTAACNATTAATAATAATACAATAGTCAGCACACAAACAGTTCAACAATACAAATAGAAAATGAACAATATACTAATTCAATTAATTAAATATACAAAGGAAATGAATTAGAAACACATAATTATATCAATACAGTAGTAACCACTCTATGTCAATATTAGCTATCATTATGTCAATCAGTTAATTAATTTGGAGAAAAAATAAATTAAAAAGAAAATCATACACATTTCATAATGAGGAGTAAAATAATAATAAGGATATGTCAGTCTTGTCCGGTAATTATACACATCCATTTATGTTGGATCGGACAATCAGCGCGAGAAGCAATCATCCCGAGGATGCCATTACTACTGTTTCTCACTCGTCTTAAAAAAGTCTTAAAGTCTTAAGGGAGTGCATATAGTTTGTACTCGACCTTGTCTGGATGCTGCGCCAGGTGTATATGGTTTCTACTCGATCTCTATTTGTAACGATCGATCACGTCGGGGTCACCAATAAGAGAGCTCATATTGGTCCCTTCTTTATTTCGCCTGGTCGTGTTTTATGTAATTAACACCACAGTTGGAACAATATAAATTTTATTGTTGTAGCGGCATAAAGTAATTACATTAAATTAGTTATTTAACACGTTATAAATTATTTTTATGTTTTTCATATTTTGGCGGTAAAAAGGTATCGTGTCACAGACTATATCCTTTTTTTTACATCTCGTGCGTTCCGGCTTACGCATAATAAAACGCCACAGTCTGTTTTCGCCTTATCAGATCAGTTACAGAGATTTTACTTGAGATATTCCAGGCGGCCACATCGCTGAGCTGGACATGTCTAAAGAATACACGTGGAACGATCTGCTGAGACAGGTAAGTCATCGAAATAAGACAAAAATTAGAATCCGTGGGCATCAAATTTTTTTTATTGCTTGAATGAGTGGACGAGCTCACAGCCCACCTGGTGTTAAGTGTTTACTGGAGCCCATAGAGATCTACAACGTAAATACGCTACCCACCTTGAGATATAAGTTCTAAGGTCTCAGTATAGTTACAACGGCTGCCCCACCCTTCAAACCGAAGCGCATTGCTGCTTCACGGCAGAAATAGGTAGGTAGGGCGGCGTTACCTACCCGTGCGAACTCACGAAGTCCTACCACCAGTAATTAGGTCAATTATAATTTAAAATCACAATAATGGCTAGTTAGAAGTTCCATATTTAGTCACCGCAAAATCAAGGAAGATCTCGGACGAACCTTATGGCACTCGAATAATATTTCGATTTACTTGTGTAATCGATTACGACAAACAAAATCGATTATGGAATCGTTTTCCTAACACGTAGGTGTACCTACTCTCAATATATATTAGACGAGCGACCCGCCCTCGCTTCGCTTCGGAAACATTAAAACACAAATGAAACCAAAAAAAAAAATAAAAAAAAAATAAAAAAAGGTAGCCTATGTTCATCAGGGACAATGTCGGCTTCTAATGGAAAAATAATTTTTCAAATCGGTCCAGTAGTTTCGGAGCCTATTCGAAACAAACAAACAAATCTTTCCTCTTTATAATATTATATTAAGTATAGATATAGACTAGCGACCCGCCCTCGCTTCGCTTCAGAAACTTTAATTTATTATTGATTTCTGCACTATTTAATGGATGTTATTAACCTTCCTCTTCAATCACCCTATCTATTAAAAAAAAAAATGCGTGCGTACAAAGTACACATGTCAGAAGTGAAACTTTTTTGGCGAACTAATTTATAAGTCTTGCTTATATTTATACAAATCTAAAACTTTAGATTTCCGAGACTTAGAGGAAGGGAAAAAGGAAGATATGTTCCCGCCAAAAGTCTGTCAAATGTCAATCTCAAACCTCAGTGTTGACAGCTTCGATCAATAATAGTACTATTGATCGAAGGTTGACAGTCACATTATGTTTAGATTTTTAAATTGTAAATGACTAATATTTTGCCATTGAATTAAATAATTTAATTTCATGCTATTTGATTAATGTTCCAAATTCTTTTCATTTCATTTCAATTCCTATTAACATTTTTCACAAAAATAAAATAAAATAATAGGCTGTATGTTTGATGATATGGTCGCAGTATTTTATTCCTACCTAAGAGTGTTAGTAAAGCGGCACGTTCCTAAATTTGTACCACGCAACAATCATAGCCCCATCTGGTTTTCAAGCATACTAATTAGAACGCTTAAAGAAAAATTTAAGTACAGGTTGAGATTTCGCAAATTCGGTAATCCCCGCGACGAATTAACCTTTGTGTTGCTCAGGAAACGCTGTTCTAAGTTATTACGTCTAAATTATACCAGATACTTGGAGAATCTGGAGTCGTCTTTAGCATCTAACCCTAAGTTAATTTGGTCCTTTGTAAAGCATAAAAGAAGTGGAAAAATTACACTGCCCGGCGAAATGTCTCTTGACGACACTACAGCAACGAATGGATCTAGTATCTGTAATCTTTTTGCTGCCCATTTCTCCTCAGTCTATAATACGACCAGCATACACAGCTTTAATGAGTCTGTTGAGTCTTCAAATATGAATTTCTTGACATGCATTTCTGTCACCAAGTCTCAGATTTACAGGGTTTTAAAAAGACTTGATGTAAACAAGGGAGCGGGCTCAGATGGTTTACCGTCTATATTTGTTTCCAGGTGTGCTTACGCATTAAGCTCACCACTTTCAATTATTTTTAATAAATCTCTGAGCTCTGGTGTATTTCCTTTGGCTTGGAAACAATCACTGATTTTGCCGCTATTTAAGAGTGGTGACACCGGCATGGTGAAGAACTATAGGCCTATCTCCATTCTAACGGTTTTTGCTAAAGTTTTCGAAATGGTGTTGTATCCCGTTTTGTCTTGGCATTTTAGACAGATTTTTGCTACGGAGCAGCATGGGTTCATTAAGGCAAGATCCACAACTACGAACTTGTTGTCTTTTGTCGAGGACTTGACTCAAGGTGTTGACCATGGAGATTCATTAGACACTATATACACAGACTTTAGTAAGGCCTTCGACAGAGTTAACCACAATTTACTGCTGTCGAAGCTGTCATCGTACGGGATTGCTGGTACACTTTTGCATTGGCTTCAATCATATTTAACGAACAGATCGTCCACGGTTGTTGCGGGGGGTCACTCGTCGATGTCCTTCCCAGTTTTGTCTGGGGTTCCCCAAGGCTCTCATTTGGGTCCTCTACTTTTTAATGCATTCATCAACGACATTGGCTCGTGTTTTCGTAGCACAAAGTTCTATATGTTCGCCGACGACTTAAAATTCTTCAGGAAAGTAAACTCATCTCTTGACTCTGAATTATTGCAGAGGGATTTGGACAGTTTGTTTGGCTGGTGCAGTGCGAATGGCATGAGTCTGAATATCAGTAAATGCTATGTAATTCGTTTTACTAGAAAAAGACGCTCATTTTCCCGAACGTATCATATTAATGGTGCACCACTATCTGAGGTAGACTCTATTAGGGATCTGGGTGTGACCATTGATAGTAAGCTGCAATTCAGCACACATATTCAGAATATTACCAGAAAGAGCTTTANGCGACAAACGACAACTTTATAAAATCAGTGTAGCAACTTTTAAAAATCATCATATCGTTTACTTGGCAAATTCGAAGGACGAACTTGTCTTAGATTTCACCCATCTAAATCATATCATATTTGCACATAACAATATACCTACTTACTTCCCATTAAAGTATAAATTCTACAAATAAATAATACTCAACAATATTTAAAATAAAATGAGCCAAGAACGTTTATCGATAAAACCTGATAACATTGAAATCTTTTGTACAGCACTAAAGCCGCCATGTTTTGTGGCCAGATGACGTCACAGTGGCACGAAATTTTGGTTGACGTTTCATTTCCATAGGTTTCCTACTTCATTGCAATAAATACCTATGCATGCGTGTGTGCGTCAAATACATGGTATGTAGTGTGTGTAATGTTTTCTTTATTGATTTAATGTATCTTTTATGCATTATTTAAAAAAAAAATTAGTATTGTGCACTTCTTCTCTTTTTTTCTTATAAGTGTGGAAAATTTCATACTCCTCCGTCCGCGCAATTTTCGTAAAAAGGGATACAAAGTTTTTGCTTCACGTATTAATATATAGATTACTAATCGATTCGTTTTTCATTGTACTTAGCTATTACAATAATATTAATAAAACAACAATACCAAAACAAGTTCTTTGTTTTTTTTATTGCTTACACGGGTGTTAGTGCTCACAGCCCACCTGGTGTTAAGAGGTTGCTGGAGCCCATAGACATCTCCGACCTAAATGCGCCATCCACCTCGAGAGATGAGCTCTAAGGTCTCAGTATAGTTACAACGGCTGCCCCGCCTTTCAAACCAAGACGTATTACGCTTCACGGTAGAAATACGCAGGGTGCCTACGCGTGCGGACACTGAGACACTGAGAAAATCCGGCGAGAAACTCAGTGGGCTGTGTCTGTGTGACTATGGTCCTGGCATTGTATATATTTAATAACACAGCTCTTAATTCTCGAATGCTATTCTATTCAGATGGAGGCCACAGTGAGAGATTCTAGAACAAAAGCAAACACGAAATCGAAATACAGTTGGTTAATTTCACGCAAGCCGAACACGTATTTACAAGGGAGTCAGAATTTGGATAAAATCACGCCGATCCTACAGAAGGTGAGTCACGAGGGAATCACTTCAGGTCGCGGTTTGGTGCTTTTAGGTACCACAAGCACCGGTTATCATCCTCGTCGAACCCGTCGCTTGCGACGAAGGGCTCGACGAGCGAATTAACCCATAGACACAGCCCACTGAGTTTTTCGCCGGATCTTCACAGTGGGTCGCGTTTCTGCGAAAGATTCTGGCCAGTGTTAGCAACACTCCGGTTTGCACCTCGTGAGCTCACAATTTTTCTAATGAAATACGTACAAGATAATAATAAATTAACAATAAAATATACCACGCTATATTTATAAACATTAACAAAAGCATAACATTAACTGTCCCCTTCACACTCATAAGCTAGACCGCGCGAGAGAGAGATGGGTAGACTTTTCATGATGCGCATGCAGTGTGACGTCACGCCACGAGCTTATTCACAAACACTACACAAGCGCAACGTGTAAATTTGTTGAACGCGAGCTACATGGTAGGCGGAGTGGGGATGTTAGGTTTTATTTTCGTTACAGAATTTTTTGATTCGGTCGCCGTAATGTAGTGTAGCGTCGTAGATGTAGCCTTTCTAAAGTGATTCCATTACCACCCAAAAGCGTTCTGATTAATTCATGTTGAATTTCAGTTGACACCGGAGAGCTGCGCCATGATAGCTGTCAAAATTGACAGACTGTCAAAAGAATCAACGCATCAGACTTTTGCGGCTTTTGAAAAATTTGTCACGGAGCAATACAACATCCAAATGTTGTCGGAAAGCATCGGGCGAGCGAAAGCGACAAAAAAGAAAACGTCGAACAAGATACATCCGTATTCGGGTAGAGAAAGAGAGACAGAGATATCTTATGTGACCTGGTGAAATAATTCATAGATGTAATAATGGTGGATGTATTGACGATGCTCGTGGAATTAAATGCACCATTTGAATATTGAATTTCATCATTGAATATCAACAAAAAAAATTAGGGTAGCCTCACAATCCCGGTGCGATATTTACTATAGAGGATATTATCTCTTGTTGTCTGAGCTCTTAGGAAACTTTATCTATATATTAATACGTGAAGCAAAAACTTTGTATCCCTTTTTACGAAAATTGCGCGGACGGAGGAGTATGAAATTTTCCACACTTATAGAGAATAAAAAGAAGAAGTGCACAATGCTAATATTTTTTTAATATAATGCATAAAAGATACATTAAATCAATAAAGAAAACATTACACACACTAGATACCATGTATTTGACGCACACACGCATGCATACTATTTATTGTCAAACTTTTGTTCTTGACGTCTGTTGTCAAATTGAGATTAAATATTGTTTGTCTTTGTTAATATTTTTTATAGTGTAGTCTTGGCGGAATTTGTGATTATAGAAGTATAAAATACAAACTTACAATTCCAATTAATTATAGTCGAATTTCGACTACTGCGGGACCTCTAGTACCCAATTAAAGCTTCAATCTTATCGAATGTCATATTATTTACGCCAGCTGTGAGTGAAGTCTATTTAATTTAGGTCTGCTAATTGCATTTAATAATAATAATTGAATTTATTTACTCCACAATACAAATAAAATTTCAATTAATATGACATAAAAATCCTAATCCTAAACAATATTGCAATATATTAATTATATTGACACAGTGGAGATAAAAAGGCAGCGGCTCAGCTTTGTTATAGCTGAAACTATCGCTGTTATTCTGCCGTTGCCTGTAATCTTAATCTATAAACTTAAATCTAAAAAAAAAATGTGTGCCGTAACGGGACGCCTGGCAGATGTGAAACATTGACATTATTTTGTAAAAGTAATATGCAGAAAAGAACACATTGTGATAGGAACTAAATATGTCATAATGATAAAATAAAATATTACGAAAAAATAATTTGTTTTCAAGTAAAACACAGGCTAGGTGTACTGTAGTAAACAACACTGTATACACTACGGGGTATACACTATAGGTATCCGAGCTCAGTGTAGCGAGAGAGATGGCTTAACGCCGGATCGAGTGGGAGAGAATCGCACAGTCGATTGCGCATGGCGACGCGTCGCCACACCGTACACACTACTGCATATAGACTGTATATATATATCATCATTTAGCGTGGCGACGCGTCGCTACGGCATGCGTCGCCCCGCCAGAAATCGGTTTAACGTGCGAGTATAGATGCTTCACATCAATAATAGCTAAATTTAAAATTATGTGGCGTAATCTACAGAATCCCTGCCTCCGCACATTGCTATTTAAGTAGACATTTCCGGCATTTACATATCGATGTCTATAGGCTTCTCTGCCCAGAAGAGGGCCGCGAGTTAGTTCGCCTATATACATAATAAATAACAATTATGAATGCAGTTCATACCCCATTAATGTGTCTTAATGTGAGCAAAAGAAATCACTTCCTAGTCGGACTGTGGTTTGAACGCGTGTCTTCAATTCTCCTACCATTTCTGCCGCTAAAAAACTAAACTTTATTATTTTATTTTTTTATTGCTTAGTTGGATGGACGAGCTCACAGCCAACCTGCTGTTAAATGGTTACTGGAGCCCAGAGACATCTACGACGTAAATGTGCCACCCACCTCGAGATAATAATATAAGTTCTAAGATCTCAAATATAGTTACAACGACTGCCCCACCCTTCAAACCGAAATACATTACTGCTTCATGGCAGAAATAGGCAGGGTGGTGGTACCTAATGGGGATAATTATTTTAATTGAAAGAGTCGCTATTAAGCAATGAAATTTTCGAACTACACAAGACGGATGACGTCATGCGAAATGTTTACGGGCTAAAGTCAAAAGCAAAATCAGACTATCATAAATTCATCTGTCTTTGGACATTTATAAATAAAATCAAAACGACCTAATAACGTCGTGGATATTCATAAAGTTTCGTAAAATGAAAACATAAATAAACCATAAAGTTAATTGTGTTGGTGATAATGATGCAGGAAGAGACTCCGAAGTGCATCGAGAAATGTATCGAGTTTTGGTCGGCTTTATGCATTAAGTCTTAAATTTTTTTTTTCTTCTGAATAACCACCCATCGATCGGAGACTAAACTTATACGGAACATTGGACAGTTTTACGAATTTTGTCACATTAAAAACTAAAGGTTTTTGTGGGATTCGTTCGATTATAAGCTATTAATGGTTTGTGGTTTGAGCTAGCTTGCCCAAAGATATCTCCCGGTCACCGTCCTCGTCGAACCCGTCGCTTGCGACGAAGGGCTCGACGAGCGAATTAGCCCATACACACAGCTCACTGAGTTTCTCGCCGAATCTTCTCAGTGGGTCGCGTTTCCGATCCGGTGGTAGATTCTGCGAAGCACTGCTTTTGCTAGTGTCAGTGTTAGCATCACTCCGGTTAGAGCCCGTGAAATAGCCTCTCAAGGCTATCAGTATAGGTAGGAAAAAAAAAGATGTCTCTAACCGGTGTAGCGACCGTGTGCAATAATTACCCTAGCGCCCTCTAGTAAGAGCGTGGTCAAAATAGAATAGGTACAAATGTAACAGTTTCATTGAGAGTTCCAGGACCAGCGCTCCTTAACACCACTGCAGCCACACCCTGAACCATACCTAAAGCCAACTCTGACCATTTTGGGAAAGTATTATCATAATTTGAGTATTCTGGTATGATATCAGAAGATGCTATCAGTAAAAATGTTTTTTTTTTAATTGACATAACAAAATGAGGATTAGTCTCGACTCGAATGATTTTTTTTTATTGCCCTTGTAGGCAGATGAGCACACGGCCCACCTGATGATGAGTGGTTATTGTCGCCCATGGAGTTCAGCAATGCCAGGGGCAGAGCCAAGCCGCTGCCTACCGCAAAGATGTTATGTGTGTGTTTATGTGTGTTAGCTGAGAGCTTTTCTAGGTGGACTGATTTATGTGATTCTTAATACAACCCTATACACTTTGCGAGTAGCTAAAAAACATTTAATCAATATAATGATTATTTTAAAAATATAATTTAAATTACTGGTGGTAGGACGTCTTGGGAATCCGCGCGGGAAGGACTTAATATTGGGATCTTAATATTGATCCAGCAGGAGATAGAGTGAAGCCGAATCAAAGGCAATTAAAAGATATGCAAGCAATTTTTTTTTAAATGGCGTCTTAATTTCAAAGTTGTTTGAGAATGTTTAAGTTTATTGAATTAATTGGTGGTAGGACGTCTTTTGTGTCCGTAAGGTTAGTACCACCGCCCCGCCTCGCCTCTTACTACCGTGAAGCAGTAATGCGTTTCAGTTTGAAGGGTTGGGCAGCCGTTGTACTGTGAAAACTGAGATCTTAGAACTCGTGTCTCGAGGTGGGTGACGGCATTAACATTGCAGGTGTTATATGGGCTCCGGTAACCATTTATCACAAGGTGGGCCGTGAGCACGTCCACCCATCTAAGCAAAAAAAAAAAAATAAAGTAANCGCCTCTTACTACCGTGAAGCAGTAATGCGTTTCAGTTTGAAGGGTTGGGCAGCCGTTGTACTGTGAAAACTGAGATCTTAGAACTCGTGTCTCGAGGTGGGTGACGGCATTAACATTGCAGGTGTTATATGGGCTCCGGTAACCATTTATCACAAGGTGGGCCGTGAGCACGTCCACCCATCTAAGCAAAAAAAAAAAACCGAATTTGTCACATATTGCATGACCTCGTCCTTAAGGCGTGTGCACCGGACCTCATCTCGATCGAATGTTGTCGAAGGCTATATTCAATGCACAATAAAAAATAAATTATTTAGCTGCATTATTCTTATTGAAGTTCGCGACCATTAAATTGATTTAAAATACGGTAAGACCTTTTATGTCCTCACCTGGAACTCATTTCAACTAAAAATCCTCGTAAAAAATAAATAATTCCGTGCCGGATCTTCTCAGCGGGTCGCGATTCCGATCCGGTAGTAGATTCATTCGCGAAGCAGCTGCTCTTGAGTTGTTAGGTCTCCTTTGGAAGCGCTCGGGAAGCTGTTAGCAAATCCCGCCCCTCCTGGCTGAGCCTTTGCTCGCCCACCTGTCCCGGTGAAACTGGAATGCCTCCAGTAATAAATAAATAATAGTTAAAAAAACTAACAAAATACGCTTTTATAGAAAATCCAACTAAAAAATAGAAAGTAAATTTGAATTAAAAATAGTGTAAGAAAAAATGATTTTGTTGTAAAAAAAAGCGTGGGGTGCTTTTCAGGATATTATCAAAATAACCCTTCTACCCATATCTGTTCATAAAATATTTATAACTACTGATACCATGCACCCCACGCTTTCTTTATTTTTTTATTTTTTTTAGTTGGGATTTTCTATAAAAGCGTATTTAGTTAGTTTTTTTAAACTGTTATTTATTTTTCATTTTTTAATTGAATTTCAATATTTCAATATATATTTTTTTAAATATTGAATTGTCATCGGTCCCTAATAAGTATACCAAATTTCGAGTTAATCCGACGTTTTGAAGGGAGTCAAAATCACGTTCAAAGATTCCGTTACAAACATACATACATACGTCTGAAGCTAGTAAAACCGTATTAAAAAATAAATAATACCGCGTAAATTTTTTCGTAACTCTGATGTAAATTGCACGCATCAAACAGAGCGCGAATCACAAATGTAGCTAAAGGCGAATGAATTGTTCCTTGTCACCAATAAATTATCGGACTTCTGATAATATCACGAGCCCTTTATCGTGTTTTATTAAAGTAATATTCTGTGTTTCTTAACACGTTCACTGGAGTAATTAGGTATTTTTTTTATTGCTCAGATGTGTGAACGAGCTCACAGCCCACCTGGTGTTAAGTGGTTACTGGAGCCCATAGACATCTACAACGTAAATGCGCCACACACCTTGAGATATAAGTTCTAAGGTCTCAGTATAGTTACAACGGCTTCCACACCCTGCAAACCGAAACGCATTACTGCCTCACGGCAGAAATAAGGGGGGTGGTGGTACCTACCTGTGTGGACTCACAAGAGGTCCTACCACC